CGGCGGAGGCCCAGGAAGCGCGTGCAGGCCGAGAATGGGCCGATTCAGGGCCTGTTCGACCTCTCGAGGGGGATTTTCATGGGCCCCGGGACCGTCCCGCCTCCCAAGGATGTGGGGACGATGCGGTCGTACCTCGGTAAGGATTTTCGGGGTTTTGATTTCGTTTCGGGGGGTAGCAAATCTCCAAGAACCAGATTTTGAACTTGTGGGGGTTGCAATTTTGGGACGATAAACAATTGAAGGAGGTGGTGATTGCTTACTATTTGCGAACACGCCTCAATAGTTTAATTGTTTTTATTTTTAATCTTTATTTTCAATATTGAAGCTGCATGGATTAGTGTAATTTGAAAATTGAGTTAGCAGGTTGTTTCGCATTGATACAACAGCGCGTTCTTTTTGACTTGTATTTTAATTGTTTGTACTGATATTGTGTACTTCTTTTTTTAAAAAAAATCGTGGGGTGATGTGCAGTTTTCTCCTTATGATTGTTTTTCTTAATAATCTACATTGATTATTGTTATTTTTGATTATTAAATCTGTGGTTCATCGAATGAAGGTAGACCAAGTTATGTTGTGGCTGTGGCTTCTTGAGCTAGCTACTGTTGGTCTTGTTTAGCTATTAAAAAGCTAAAGTTTGTTTTGATTTCATTGATTAACAGATAAAATGAGACCCGAGGATTTTGGGCTAAGCGCAGATCTAGAGTTCTTCAAGACCTCGAGCCCCGTGAATGGAAATCCAACGATCGCATACGCGACTATATATAGCTGTGATAATTTCTCGGTAAGGGTTGTGATCCTAGTACTGCTGCTACTGACCAAGCAGACTTAAATGGTTATTATGAGATGTTTGATTTGGATTTGAATAATGTATAGTAGCTAAAATAGGCTAAATTATCAAATTGGTATTTAAAGTAGACCCTCTTTGCCAATAAGGTATTTAAAAAACCTCCGGCGACATTATGGTATTTTATTAAAGCATTGCTTACCAACAAGACTCTTTTCCTTGAAATTCTGGAAGGAAAATTTATTCTACCTCCCAACCTCTCAAAATTATTAAATTCACACCATTTTCCTTGAAAATTCCGGCAGGAGGAGGAGGGGGAGGAGAGAGAGAGAGAGGAGGAGGAGGAGGGGAAGGAAAGGGAGGGGCAGGATGAGGAGGAGGTGATGGCGGATTGCTCGTGGAAAGGTGGGGATCTTGGTGGGGATGGGAGTGTCGGAGGAGGAGGGGAGGGTGGGGAGAGGGATGGAGTTGGAGGGGGGAGGGTAGGCGGAGGAGGGGAGGAGAGGGGAATGGGAGGGGAGGACGAGGACGATGAGGAGGACGAGAGGGAGAGGGAAAGGATGCATTTTTTTTGATAATTTTGTGCATAGATTTAATAATTTTGGGAGGTAAGCGGGTTAAAAGAAATTTTCCTGCTGGAATTTTGAGAAATAGTGTCTTATCGGTAAATAGATGGCAATAAAATACCATAATATCAACTGGAGGTTTTTTAAATACCTTATTGGCAAAGAGGGTCTACTTTATATACCAATTTGGTAATTTAGCCAGCTAAAATATGATTGTAATTTCTCTTACAAGGAGCAATTATAGGTTATTCACTTGGTATCTGATTCATTGTAATATCTTGAACAAGCTCTTATTTTGAAAAGTGAATTGCACATACCCCACCCCCAAAACCCCCACCCACATATCTTGAGTTGCACTGAACCCCACTCAGCTCATTTACTAGCACCCTTCACCCTTGCAACGTCATTTTTAGAAGGCTATATTGCAAGTTAGACCTCTTGCCCCTTGTTTTCTCATGAATTAAGGGGGTGAAGGGCTAATGAACGAATTGAGGGGGTTTGGTCAACCTCAAGGTATATAGACAAGGGGGGTCATGAGCAATTTACCCTTTTTTAAAAATTCATGGTATCTCCTTCAATTTTCGAATCCCCAAATATCACATTGCTGGTCTTCCAATTGCTTAATCATAACTATGTTTAAATCTATCTCTGATCTCTTATAATTGTTACTCACTTCTACAGATGTGCATGTTCTTTTTGCCACCAACAGCAGTTATTCCACTCCATAACCACCCAGGGATGACCGTCTTCAGCAAACTCCTATTAGGAACAATGCACATAACATCATACGATTTCGTTGATCCCTCTATTTCAGATGAAGCCACTCCATCTAATTGTAAGTAAGCCTTTAATTGGTTTTCATGTACCATACCGAAGTCGTAATTCCATCTTGTTTTACAAAATACTTTATGTTTTGCAGTTAAATTGGCGAGATTGGTGGTAGATTCAGACTTCACTGCTCCGTGCAAGACATGCACGCTATACCCAGCATCTGGAGGAAATATGCACACATTTAGAGCTATTACACCGTGTGCAGTGCTAGATGTATTGGGACCTCCTTACTCGAAAGAAGATGACCGAGACTGCACATACTATAGAGCTAGTCCTTATTCTCGTATTTCAGGTAAGTTACATTTCTTGAATGCATGTAAGATGTTTTTAGATGCTTTTGTGGATTTAAGCAGCAAGGATGATGCTAAGGCTCTTAAATTAACCGATTACAAATAAGAAGAGAGATGATATGAACACGAGGAAAGATTAAAGAAGGTCTCTCCTTTTCACGATGTTAACGTCAATGTCTTAACTTTATCTTGTAGTTGAGGAAAAAGACCTACTGAACATGCAACAAAAATTTGTGGGCATATTTTGTAATGATATGTCTATTATCAAAATGGCGAATTCTTTGGGGGCTTGATTTGCAAGCAAAGTTTGTTTTGCGTACTTACCACGATCTCATGTCTTAAGCTCAAATCTTATCATATTATTAAACTGGCATTGGGTTATTTAAATGGTTGCTTAGGAAAAGAGTGACATTATGTCCTTAAGAAAGTGCAATTAGATTAGCTCACTTTGAAAGTACAAAAAATGTGCTAAAAGAGCGGTCTAATATAGTACATAGTTTGTCTTGTTTGTTTAATAGATATTTCTACTTTATCCTTTTCTATATTGCAAGTTTGCGACGAGCACCGTTTTATATTACTAACATACTTAGCAGCACACAGTATGATCATATTTTATATACAATCTTGCGATCTTTGAAACAAGTTATACATGCCATCGAATCTTTTGCAAGAGGGGACCAAAGCCTTACATTAATTTCTATGTCCTGTCGGTTGGCTTCAAATAGTGGATTAGTCCCCATAAATTTTTTTAATGTCATTAGTTCCCACGTAGCAGACAGTTAAATGTAATGAAAATTTCTATACACTGCCTTTATCTTGGTTCTTTTCGTTAAATTTCTAACAAATGTGTCTTCTTACAGATGAATTTGTTGATAGAGACGGAGAGCGAGATAACGATCTTTATTTGTTGGAGGAGATTGAAGTCCCCCAAGAATTGAAAATGGTTGGTGTTGAATATCTTGGACCACAGATTATTGACATATGAAGAAGTTTGGGCTTTAACTTTGGATACAGTTTTCTTTCTTTTCCCCCCCTTTTCTTTTCTTTTCTTTTTTTCCTCCTCCCCCTTTGTTGTGTGTATGGAGTGTTTTTTAACTTTGTGCGAGAAGGGAGATTGTCGCACTGGACAAATTCCTATTCTTACAGTAATAACATGGTTACTGAGTTACACAGATGTCTTAGTCCGAACTTTGGTGGAAGATTTCTTTGGGTGATTAATGTTCTTTTTTGGTAGTTAATGCTTTAATTCAGTTACTTTTTGTTTGTGATTCAATTGAGCTGTTGTAGATAAATTGGGATCCTCTACTAATTGCATAGTATCCTAATATCTTCTAATAAAGAGATCTTAGCTTTGATTTATCAATCGAAAACCAAGATCTCATCCTCATGATCTTTGATCGATAAATCAAAGATCAAGATTTCATGAGGAGATCTTAGAAAGATCTTAGAAACCACCTAGTAGAGTATCACAATCCGTTGTAGATGAGGGTTCTTAGCTGGATATTTCTGTCTTGTTGAAGATGAGGTGAACCTGTAGGACAAGTTCTGTGATTGTAACTGTTACCGATAGTCTGGAGGCTGTCTTGTCCTCTGGGCATCCCCAAGAAGCCAAGTGATCATATGCATGCATCTCCTTGCTGATCTCACCCACCTGCAAAAGCTATGGTACTAGCACATTGGCATATGCACGTGCAACAATATTTAATACTTATCCAATCGTCTTATATTGTACATATTAATAGTTTGGTGATAATTTAATTTATGTAATTTTTATTATGAAGTTCGGTATTAATAGTTTGATGATTGATGATGATTTGATTTATGTAATTTTATTATAGAGCTTGACATAGAAAATGTATCCTAAACTGTTATTTAAGAATTTAAATATATTCTTAACATAATTTTGTTGAGTAGTTTTTTTAATGAGGATAATATAATTGGCGTGAGTGATTAAAACAATAAAGAAAAATAAAGATGTTATACCCTTAAAAAAATACTAAATATTAATCTCCATAGAACAATCGACACGCGTCTTACACTATACTTAATACAACTAATTCAAGACGAAGATAATCTTTGCCTCAGCTCAGCCTACTGTTCGACTGACATCTCGTGTAACCGAGACAAGAGGAGCTACTACTCGGGCAACCATTCAATTGATTCCATAAACGACCCGACTCGGCCCACTATTCAGGCGACATCTCGCGTAACCGAGACAAGAGGCGGTACTTTGTCGTCCAACCCGGCCAATCGCCCCCATGAATAACCCCCACTTGGCCTGTTGTATCAGCCTTCAACATGTATAGTCGACCATCGGCTAGACGACTAAAAGAGTTGGTAGTTTTCTCGAACCCCACACCGACAGCCACATGTCCTTGCATTAACTGCTCTGATAAAGCCATTATTGCTCTAGTCCACAAAGTCTTTATGACTTATCGGGATACCGTCAGCACCAAGCAGCTGCTGTCGCTTGGCAACTGACAACATGGATGACCCATTTTCGCCAGTGCCCAACACATGTTAGCTATCTACCGACTCAGCTGCATAGGTAGACCCGGCCTAAGTTACCATCTTGCCTCCTCAGATCCATTATAAAAAGGAGAGGAATTGTATGATATAACTCTCTCTAGTCTTTTTGGAACACAGCTTAGAGCTAACCTTATATTTCCCCACTTAAGATCATCTACTGACTTGATCGTCAGAGAAACAACTGGAGAACCCAACTTCGCTCTCTTACGAGTTTTTTTTCTTATGCAGGGAAGAATAGTAAACCCCATAACTACACATCAGAAGGAGTTAGAGGACTTTAGTCACTTCACAAACCTACAAATTATTCCATGTTTGATAACTGGCATCAACAGAATATATTGCAAATTAATTATGTGAGTACGATATTGCAATTTAATTATGTGAGTATTCTCATGTCATGATTTAGATTATCCTAAAAAAAAGAAAGGAAAAAAGGAAAAAAAAAGGAAAAAAATATCTCTTGAAAAATTATAATTTTGATTATATGAGTTCAAATCCTATTATGATGTTATGATTTAGAATATTCTAGAAATAAAAAATGAAAAAGAAAGGAGTCGATAAAATCTACTTATAAAATTACCATTTTACCCACAATATTATAATATATAAAGGAGGGAAAATGTCATTCATTCATCCAACTTTCACTACTCTCGCTAAGTTTATATATTAGTATAGATGTTCCCCAACCCTTAAAAGTCTAGTTGTATTTTAGGAAAGTTTGTGTTTGACAAAAACTAGACGAAGTATTGATCCGGTTTTTCTTATGCCAAAAATGGCCCTTCAATCAGTTTGAAGCGGGGTCATTCTCATGTCTACACCTAATTCGGCATTAGATAAAACTTATCGCAATTTTGATTAGTTTTGAATACAATATACGTCCATTTTGACAAACTACTTGGAACTCAGTCAGGATTGATCCTGACCCAGTTTAATTTTGAGAAAAACTAGTTGTATTTTGATTTAGGGAGCAGGTGGATAAAATCATAATTGGTGTCAATTTTGATCGGTGTTAATTTTGATCAAATTAATGTCGGGAGTTTGTAAGAATACATGCCAAGAAAATAAGGAGAATGATTCGCTGCATGCCACCTGCGTAACGTCTGATTTTCTGTAGAACATTATTTTAACTCATGCAACAGAAAACTATTATATTTATGCTTATGCCTTGTAACACAGAATCTGTACAAGTTTCTGCTCAGAAAAGCCATGCTAATATTTTTTTTATGGTTGCGATAGTGGATTTTTAGTGAAAACGCTTTCCCCACAAATTTGTTCACTGCAGCTATATAGCTAATTTTCGGATAAAATGATATCCGGTGCAACTGTTGAAGGGTATTAAGGCTAAGTTTAATTAATAATATATCAAACAAGGGAAACAATAATAATAATAATTTCCGAATAATTAGAAACTGCAACTATGTTCAGTAACAGTAGTACACATTCTGCTTCTCAACGTGACACATCAAATTGCACTTGACACACATTCAACCCCATTGGCAACCTTTTCACGTCACTAATAAACTAAATCAAGAGGATACACAACATTCAAAAAAAAACTTGATCTATTCTTCACACCAACAAAGATAATTAATTAATATATCTTGGCCACCAGTTATCTGCAATAAGAGCAGCAAGTTTATTTAAAGGTGCATAGCAATGAAATTGACAGGAAAATACACGGCATTAGAAGGAGGACGTGACGACCGAACATGGCATGATTTCTTTAGTCTCCTGTCCAGCTCCTTTCTTGAACCCTGCGGTTGTACTCGCGCTTGTTTTCGCTGAACATTCTTGCTTGCTGCCTCAGAATTTGCAGGGGAGTTTGGGTTTTGGTCACAGAGAAGAGACTGGAAAGATGAAAAGGAATGCAAATTGTAAATCACTTGGTCTTGGTGAGTTCGTGATCGATCATGTAGTATATATATTTTCTTAAATAAAAAGGGATTTCACCTTCAAATTTGCAAAAAAATGCCTATATTCTAAGCCTTAACCACAATATATATAGCTTATAATTGTTGGATACCACTTTAAACCTTTTGTATCCCTGAGAGGACGCACCTGAATGGAAGTCGATACAGCAGCGACGTCATAAATAGGAGTCCCACTGATTTTGTAAAATGTCCAAGCAAATGCATGCTTTCGTCTGCTTAGACTGTCAAAGCCACAGTACAAGATCAATGCCGCGAAAAACTCCCATCAACTTGCCTAATAATTAATACGTAATATATGAAGTTATGAACCTGTATACACAAGACAATAAACTTGCTAAAGAAAACTTTGAGAATTAATCCATACCCAAAAACACACGCATATAGACATGCACATATTAATTGATATATAGCCAGAGAGCATTCCTCCTATAATTGTGTAGAATTACTATTTTTACCACGTCAAATGCAAGATCCACACTGTTCTAGTTGATCTCCACCCCCTAAATGCGTGCAATGATGAAATTCATACTTACAAAAAAGGCAAATAATACTTAGACCTCATGTGATCCCACAACTTACTATATGGGTGAGAGGTTCGTGTGAGACAAAGCGAACTATATATGGGGGGCTTGTTTAGGATAGTCTTATGTAAACTGCAGCGTATAAAGAGCCAAGTAAACAATGAGATTGTGCAAGCTAGATGATTATTATAAGAATGCAATGAGATGCATCTTAGACTAGCAAGCAGTATAATTAATGTATTCTTCTTAGCTGTGTGATTATCTGCATAATGCAGCTGGAAAAAATTATCAGCTTATTAGAACCTCCAAATCATCAGTTCATACAGATCTCAATGGTCCCATCTCGTGTGCAAGGAAATAAGCCAAGGAAAAAAAATTTATCAGCGACGTTCCTCAATAGAAACTTAATAAGATGTTTTGATTAGATATTCCCGTATGATGCTTATTATTAATAAAAGCTAACTGAACTTCGAAGAAAATGAAGGCTTTTATCATGATAGCTCTTTTTGAAAATTCTCCAACAGAACCATAGTCTCCTATTTATCTTCCATACGTCTTAGCTTTAACCAATGTTTCCTATAATTTCGTGATCCTTGAAAGTAAACTCTTAACCCATTCCCGATTTTTTCTATAAGACTATAGTACATCCAAGTTGACTGCTGCAGTCTGCAATTGGAGTATAAAAGCCACATTTCGCATAGACACTTGGAAAATCCTATGCAGATATGAATGATGGCATTGAGCTAGGTTGCATGGTTATGGGTACTCGTACAGGACACAGAAAATTTGTAAAAGGTAAGGTACATGGATGCGCGCGGCTACATAAATATTTATATACACATATATTATTTATTGAAACTAATAACTTATATGAAAACAAGGATGATAATTAAAATTCAAATAACATTTTTATATTTTTTTATTATGCGGTTATAAGAAAATCGCTAGCTTTTGAACTAGACATTCAAACAACTCTTCACAATCATAATTCAGAACCTACCCTATGACCAATGAGTACAACGAGCTTCAAGATGTGGATGAGAAGTGCATGATGTACGTCCACAAGATGTATGACAAGTGTTTTAAATTAAAACATGTACTGTAGCATTGGGTACATGCTTGAATAAATGTATACATATATATATGCAAGGAGTGTACAAGGAGTGTCCAAGGAGTTTGGGTATGGATAGGGTATGTGTTGAGTGGAGTACCACTTCAGATTAGAAGTAACTAGGCAACAATTGCTTTGAGG